GTCATTAGGCCTAGCCTTAAACATTTGCCTAGGCACTAGACCAGAGATATATGTAAGTCCCTCTCACAGTTTCCCCAATTATTAACATCTTATACTAGTGAGGTACATTTGTTACAACTGATGAGCCAATATTGATACATTATTATTAACCAAAGTACATAGTTTACACTAGGAATCACTCTGTGTTGTATGTTCTATGGCTTTTGACAAATGTCTAATGATTTGTATCCACCATTGTAGTATCATACAGAATAGTCTTTGCTTCCCTAAAAATCCCATGTTCTACCTATTCATCCTTCCCTCCTTATCCTTGAACCACTAGCAGCCTATTCATAATTTTTAATTCCAGGAAATCATTTACTGCTGACTTCAAGTAAACTCACTCAGTGTTCGAGTAGTACCTTTGAAGACCTAAACTTGCTTTAATGTCAGCTTGGTCCATTTATAGTTCTTTTATATATATATTTTATCATTCTTTAAAGTATTATTTGTTATTGTATCAGTTGAGATCCAGTTAAGAAAACAGAGGGAATAGAATACAGGAAATTGGTTACACAAGTGATAGAAGAGCTAAAAAGCCAAAAGGGGAAGGTGAGGCAGTGTCTTAGTCTGGTTGGGCTGCTAAAACAAAAAAACCATAAATATGGTGGCTTATAAACAACAGGAATTTATTTCTCACAGTTCTGGAGGCTAGGAGTTCCATGAACAGTGTTCTGGCAGATTCAGTGTCTGGCACAGACAGCAGTCTTTTTACTGTGTTCTCACATTTAGAAAGGAGAGGGGTCTCTCTTGGACCTCATTTTTTTTTTTAACATCTTTATTGGAGTATAATTGCTTTACAATGGTGTGTTAGTTTTTGCTTTACAACAAAGTGAATCAGCTATACATACACATATATCCCCATATCTCTTCCCTCTTGTGTCTCCCTCCCTCCCACCCTCCCTATCCCACCCCTCGAGGTGGTTGGACCTCATCTTTAATGGCACTAATCCCATGCATGAGGGCTGTGCCCTCATAACCTAATCACTTCCCAAAGGCCCCACCTCCTAATACCTTCACTTTGGGGGTTTGGATTTAAACACATGAATTTTTGGAGAACACAAATATTCAGTCCATAGCAGGCAAGATTAGGAAGCTAAAACCAGCTACCATCTCTAGGCTGATGGACAAATGGAAGAAGATGATGTTTCTGGAGCTCAGGGACTGGTGTCACAGACAAAAGCTGGAATTCCAATGGACAGGTTCAGAGGGAGCAAAGCTATAAAGGAGATGCAGCAAGCATTAGGACTGAGGTAGGGGACAGGGAAGAAATATCTTGGCTTTTTTCCTTTCCTTCCACCTTCCAATTTCCTGCCGATGTCTCCCATTGGGCAAATCTCAGCTGGAAGTCAGCTGTCAAGGAACCTGGTGAATGCAGCTTGAAAGAGTCAGTGTCTCTACAATACAGAGGAGAGCAAGGTAGGAGAAGGAATGGATATGAGAACAAAAAGACTAAACAGTAGTCAATTCTTTTTAACTTTAAAAATCAACTTTATTGAGGTATAATTTACATACAATACACTTATTTAAAATGTACACTTTGATTATTTTTGACAAATACACCTATATAACCACCCAGTCAAGACATCAAACATTCTAATCACCCCCACAAAATTCTGTCTTAATCCTTTGCCATGAATCATCCACCCCACATCAGTCCTAGGCAATCACTAATCTGCTTTTTGTTACTATAGTTTTGCCTATTCTAGAATTTCATATAAATGGAATCGTGGAGTATGTACTCTTCTGCGCCTGGATTTTTTTTACTCAGCATGTTTTTGAGATTCACCCACGTTTTTGTGTTTATCAGTAGTTGATTTTTTTTTTTTTGCTGAGTTGTATTCCATTGTATGAATATACTATAATTTGTTTATCCATTCATCTACTGATGGACATCTGGGTTATGTCCAAGTTTGAGCTGTTATGAATAAAATAAAGTTATTGAAAACATTTATATACAAGGTTTTTTTGGTGATGTGTATCTGTGTATGTGTTTGGTGGATATGTTTTCAGTTCTTGTGGGTAAATATTTGGGAGAGGGATTACTGGGTCATATAAGAAACTGCCCAACTCAACAATTCTCTTTAATCTTTTTTATTTTTTAAATTTTTATTCTTTTGGCCGCACTGTGCGGCTTGTGGGATCTTAGTTCCCCGACCAGGGATTGAGCCTGGGCCCTTGGCAGTGAAAGCACTGAGTCCCAGTCACTGGACCACCAGGGAATTCCCCTCTTTAATATTATAAATATCATCATTACAATGAATGTCCATGAAAGAACATGTGCATTTCCTCCAAAGAGCTAAGGGTTAGAGGGAGAACAATTCTTATGACAAATCTCAAAAAAAAAAAAGCTTAAAAAAATTAAAAACACTTAATACATATGTTCTTTATAGCTCAATATTTTAAAATAGACAGCAAGAAAGGGAATTAGGGAAGTATAAGAGGAGAGGAACTGAAGAGGAAAGTAAAGCAATGCAAAATAATGACTAAGAAGACTTCTTGACGATGGCAAAATCATCTTACACAGCTGCTCTGAGATCCCAGCACTGCTGTCAGCAACCTTCTGGCAAAGCTACTCTGTCAAATGGATGCAATAGGATCCATACTGATCTTTTGTAAAGAAATATCTTTATTAAACTAAGCAAACACACCTCTCATTTATAGTAATGTGGAGGTGTAGCCTTTTTCTTTTAGTAGTAATGTTTCCCCAACATATAACACTTCCCTTTGATATGTGGGTTGAGTCATAAATTAATGTCACAAATGAATGTCATCTAGGTGAGGGGGGCAACTACATTACAAAATAGGAAGGTGTAGCTTGATGTGAATTGTTACAGTTGACAGCTATGTACTCTTGAACTAAATGTCATCATGTCAAATTCTGAGATATTAAATAGTTGTTGGAATGTAAAATTGTGGACATTTTGATGTTTTGCAGCCTTATAAGTTTTGTCAATCTTTTCTAGACATTCTGAAACGGAAATGAACAGGTGGATTGAAAACAAAGACAAATGAGGAATTTAGAGACTTTCTTGGCATCTCATAAAGAAGTTGCTCTACACTGCTGATGTTTTAAACAAAACACGTATAAATACATTTAGCTTGTCGGAAACAGACTTATTTATTAGGACTTTCCATTTACTTTTGAGACAAAAATAAGTAGTTACAGAGGACTCATGTGCATTACTCACTATACGCTTTCTATCGTGTATTAATTAATCTCAAGCTAGGAGAGAATGGATGTCTATTTTACATGATGCCATAATGTACATTAGTGAGATCAACCCATTTACTCTTAAAATAACGGTATCACATCAGGGATTTAGAATACAGTATTATATGAAAACAGTTGGCAGGGAGACTCCTTCTGCCATTAATAACTGACTAGAAATGGTATTTCAGACCCTAAATCCAACTGAAACCCAGAAACAATAAATGGAGAGGATGGGGTGGCTATTTTGTGAACATGTTTTTCAAAGTAAAGAAAGAATCACTATATTTTTGCTGAATTGTATGTTGCCGTGGACATGGCAGTATGCAGTAATGATGCTGTCATCTATACAGCTGTATAACAACACAGCTTCTCCCTCTCCCACCCCCCTCAGTAAGGCTTAAAAATAGTAGGTTTGTGTGTAGTTTGGTAAGAAAATTAGAATAATTTAAAGTTCTTTCAGTTTCAATCTACAAAAGAAAAAGGCTCAGGGGGATGGGGAAGAAGAGCAAACAAAAGGTACCAAAAAATACATTTTATGTAATAAAGTCTAATATATATTACACAGACACTAAAGAAGGGTGTCTTGGTGTGCTGGAAAACTGATGGCTTTGCAGTGGAAAGACCTGGATTTAGTCCTTGTTACATCACTTGCGTGTGACCTTGAGCAAAGTCGCAATGTATTTAAGTCTCAGTTTTCTCATCTATAAAATGGAATCATGGTAGTATCTTCTAACTTGAGGCACTATTGTAAGGATTAAAGGGATGAAAATGACTCGTAAACTATAAAGCCTTTTAAAAATAAGGCTTTATAGACGTATTATTACACTGTGGAATCTTCAGAGGCAGAGAAGAGTACAGGAAAAAGGGTCTAGACAGGCTTTGGAAGCTTACAACCTGGGTTCTAATTCCAATGCCATGGCTAGTAGCTTTCACACCTTGAAAAGAGGAAATGTACTTAGGGACTTCCCTGGTGGTCCAGTGGCTAAGACTTCGTGCTCCCAATGCAGGGGGCCCGGGTTCCACCCTACCTGCCGCAACTAAAAGATCCTGCACGCGACCGGGCAGCCAAATAAATAAATAAATGTTAAAAAAAAAATCCTGTTAATCCTGTTTCCTCTTTTTGAGAAATGAGGATAACACCACTTTCTTCACAGAATCAAATGAGAGAATGTAGGCAAAGGAAACTACCACTTGGTAGGTGTTGGATGCCTTCCCCCCGCAAACTATTAAATTAGTGTCATCAACAACAAAAGGTGTTCACACTGTGGTATCTTTCAACAGACAAGCACCCTAAAGCGAGGCAGGACAGATAAGGAAAACTGAATCCAAGTGGGAACCAACAGCTAGAAGTGGAGATGTCTTAGTTCGGTCTTATCCACTTGAGGTTAGGATATCCATACAATGAAGACATTCAGAGTTGGAGAGGGGACAAGTCGAGTGCCCTTTCGACTCCGCGGACTCGACGGGAGGGAACCTGAAATTCTTAATTAGAGCCGGTTGCCATGGCGACAGTCTCTAGGCAGCGTGGGCTGAGCTCTTCGTAGGGCTAGAGGGTGGGCCGTCGCTGGACCCCGCGCGCGCGCCCGCGACCAACTTTCCCTCCAGACCAGAGAGGGGCAGCGCGCTCCGCCCCCGCCCCCGGGCCGCGCACGTCCGGGCTCGGCGACGCGCACGCCTGCGGGAGCCCTCTCCGAGGAACCTAGTGCTGATCGCTCGTGCCGGTGCGGCAGTTAACCGCCCTTGCAGGATCCCGAGGCTCGCGAGCAGCCCCCTCCCCTTCCTGGGCTTCCCCCACCCACTTCCCGGTCGGCTCCGGGGCATGAGCAGCGATGGCCGGCTGCAGCCCCGAGGAGAAAACTTACCGGCGCTTCCTGGAGCTATTCTTGGGCGAGTTTCGCGGACCGTGCGGCGGCGGCGAGCCCGAGCCGGAACCCGAACCCGAGTCGGAGCCCGAGCCCGAGCCCGAGCCCGAACTGGTAGCGGCTGAGGCGCCCGAGGCTTCGGTTGAGGAACCCGGGGAGGAGGCGGCCACTGTAGCCGCGACGGAGGAGGGGGAGCAAGAGCAGGAGCAAGACCCCGAGCCCGAGGAGGAGGTGGTGGCGGCGGAGGGCGAGGAGGAAGAGGCGGCGGCAGCCCGGGGGCAGTCGGCCGTGCCACCGCCGCCGCAGCCCCAGCTGCCGCCGCTGCCCCCGCTCCCGCGGCCGCTGTCGGAGCGCATCACCCGCGAGGAGGTGGAGGGCGAGAGCCTGGACCTGTGCCTGCAGCAGCTCTACAAATAGTTAAGTAGCGGGGCTTGGTTGGGGGTGGGCCCGCTGTCCCCGCCTCGCCGGCCTCGACGCGACTCCCTCGGCCCCTCAAACTGCTCTTTCCGCTCTTCATGCCCCCCCCCCCCCCCCCCCCGCCCCCCGCGCGGTTGAAAGCGCCCCCCCCCCCCCGCCTCGGGGGGTTGTTTGGGGGGGGGCCCCCCCCCCCCCCCCCCCCCGGCCCCGCCGCCCCCCCCCCGGCCCCCCAAACGCCTTTTTCCGCTCTTCATCCCCCCCCCCCCCCAACGCTGGCGCCTGGCGCGGTTGAAAGCGCCCCCGCTGCTCGGACTTGGGCTGTTGTCTGCGAGCTGCCCACGCCAGCCGCGGCCCCCGCGCCTCCTACCCGGCCCGGGAGCCGCCCCCCGCGCCCTGCCGCCGGGCGCCGTCCCCTGCTTCCCGCTTCTCCCCTGCCGCCTATTTCTTGCTCCACTTCACACACCCTTTCCCCTTCGTGCCTTGGAAGGTCCTTCCTTCCAGTCTTGAGAGCTCCCTCTTCCCAGCTCTCTTCTTCCTCCTGGAGGTTTCTTCCCACCCGGGTCTGCCTTTTCCCAGCCTGAGTCCCGTGTTGTTTGGCGGCGGCGAGACGGGACTCCTTTCTAGGCAGAGCTGCTAGGTGCCTCCTGCGTAACCGCAACAAAGATGATAATCCCAGCCCCAGATCCACAGGAGGAGAGACTGGAGTAGATTTTCTGTCGGGCTCTCGGTGTTGAAAGTGTAGATGGCTTAATACATGGAAGCCTAGTATCTTCGTCTAACGACATTTGATACCTCACAGTTGAGGGAGGTGGGAAGGAATTGGGAGGGACGAGTGAGCAAAATTTTACATGCGAGCCTTCAGGTGAAAGACAGTTGTAATTCGTTAAAGTGGAAAACTCTGGCTGGTTTGATAAAATTGCAATTAGGTGCAGTATTTTCAGTCCATTAAGTAGATGGGGTAGGGGAGAGAAAGCAGGTGGCTTAGCTACACAGATGAAAGTCTAAAATAGAAAGGTCAAGGCTTTTCGTTTCATCCCAGTTTTTATGGGCTTGAAATAGAAAGTTTACAATTGCTTTTCTTTCTAAATGGAATTGTTCTGAAATAATGACAAAGGAGAATACGAACAAGTTTCCGAGAACACTGGTAAACCTGGGGAGTCTTTCCCTATTCTGATAGTTGTAATGAAAGGTGTTACTCTGTACCCCTCAGAAAGTTTATTACTGCAAGATTCATTGCAGTTAAATTCACTTCTTGGATCTTCTCAAAAACTTAGATTAAGAGAAGGACTTGGAAAGTAAATGTTTTGTCTTTATCCAACCTAACAGACACCTGATCAAATCACTCTTCCTGTTAAAACAGAGGCTTGTCAGTAGGGAAAAAGTATTTAAATGTCTGCTGTAGAAGTGGACTGTGTTGATGTCCCACACTTTATACTCTATTTAAAATTTAATTTTAAAATACTATGTGGTTACCAAAGTAATAATGCTTTTGGGGAAATGTAAAAGATAAAATGGCATGTAATACCACTACCCAGATATAAACAGTATTAACATCTTAGAGTATTTCTTCCTAGTGTTTGTAAAGTATCATAGAAAAGGGCGTATGAAATGTCATTTTTAATACTATATAAAGACACTTAAGACTTCCTGCTTAAAATAAAACGGAAACGTTTACCAAAGTGGAAGGGTGTATCTCAGCATCAGACTAATTCTATTTTGACAGTTCTTACCTTTACCAATGCAGTTGCAGAATTAAAGAAACACACATTTAAATATTAGAGAAGGTCCATTTTTAAAAAAAGAGTCATTACTTTAGAACAACTTTGAACATGTGCCAAAGTTTTTTAAAAAATGAAATCTATATAAAGATGATGGTAAGTAGATGTGTGTTTTTCCACATGGAAAGGAAGCAAGATTTTCAATACATGCATAAACTAGAAAAGTATTTAAATTATAAAATGGCCATCTAATTGAGAACAGAAGTTTAGATTTGAAGTAAAACTAGCAAAATTAAAGTTGGAAAACATTATTTCACCTTAAATCAGAGATTTCATCATATATACTGTTTTGTGCAGAAGCTATTAACCTATTTTTATTCAGATATAAAATGGCTGGCTTGTTTATGTAAAGTATCTTCAAGGTCCTTAACAGATTAAAAACAAACAAACAAACCCCAAAGTCTCACAGTTTAAAAACACATACTTTTAATGCTTTTATTTTTTATTTTATTTTATTATTTATAAAGGAAAATCATATCACTTAGCCACAAGAATCGAGACTGGAACATTGGAGAGATAGATCATTTTCCTGTTCGCTTTATTTTACAGATGAGAGAACTGAGGATCCAGATTCAGAAATGACAAATTATGTACAAATGATTCCAACATTTCCATAATCTCTGAACCTCAGAACTCTCCGACATATTTGAAATGTTGGGTTGTCAAATTTCCTAGGAAATACTTTGAAATAATTCTGATTAGGGATATGTTGGAATTGCTAATTTGGAGAAGGTGAAGATTTTTTTTTCCCAAAATATTTTCTCAAATACCCACTCTGTTTATTTTGGGAATTCTTAATATTCTTTAAAAGCTCTGTCATGCTTGTCAAATAGTGCTAAAATTCTTAAATGAAGTTACCTGAAATATATATTCACCAATTTCACAGTTGGGACTAATGTAAGAAGAAAATAACACTGCGTATAATAACAGTTTCATAAGTCTCTAGCGTGTTTTTTTCTGTTAGTATTTTAGAAATATACAGTATGAAACTGCTAAACAGACTGAGGTTCGCTGAAGAAAAAAAGGGTGCTTACCTTCTCAATACTGTTTATGTATATACACTGGCTGAAATTTTACTTTTAAAAATATAGTGAATGTTTTTCTCACTATTTTGCTTCTCTCAGAGTTTTTAGAATAAGAACAGATATATTTATCATTCTTCATTTTGGTAAACACAAAGTTTAGGATTAGCTTGAGATAAGCAGTTACTTAGATAAGTAAAGGATCAAGGTTTGAATGGACAAAATATGGTTATAATTAGCAACTTACAAGTTTTTCAGTGTTTGGGATAGAATTTTGCCGTTAGCCTTCAAAATAGGAAATATGTACTTAGATATTTCTCTGCTAGATATAAACATGTAACATTTTGAAAGAAAAATAATTCAAAATGGTAAAAATCCCCTTGGATGAGAAAGATGTCTGTTGTGGACTATAAATACTTTTTTTTAAAAAATTTATTTAATTTATTTATTTTTGGCTGCGTTGGGTCTTCGTTGCTGTGCCTGGGCTTTCTCTAGTTGCTGTGAGCGGGGGCTACTCTTCGTTGTGATGTGCGGGCTTCTCATGCGGTGGCTTCTCTTGTTGTAGAGCACGGGCTCTAGGTGCGCAGGCTTAAGTAGTTGTGGCCTGCGGGCTCTAGAGCGCAGGCTCAGTAATTGTGGCACACGGCCTTCGTTGCTCTGTGGCATATGGGATCTTCCCAGACCAGGGCTCGAACCTGTGTCCCCTGCATTGGCAGGCAGATTCTTAACCACTGCGACACCAGGGAGCCCCCCTAAATACTTTTTTTAAAGGATCATTTAAACAATTTTGTTTCAACTAATTAAACCTTAAGGATCAATAATAAATTCATGCAATACTTTAGAACTGTATCACTGAATTAGTCTATTACTTGTCAATAAAATATTCCAATGATTTGGAACCTTTAGCCGTTAGTATAAAAATTATCTCCTTTACTCCTTTAAACTAAAATGCCCCCCAAGAGATTAAAATAAATACTTTCTAATGATATAATATTAGGATTTCTGAGGTTAATGAATCTCTTTGAAAAGGTAGAGGTGAGATATTTTATAGCTTTGAAATAATTTGCCAATAAAATTTACAGCTGATCTTGTAGCAGATATGAATAACCTTGGCTAGGCTACATGGGTCAATACTGTATTCTGTTTCTCTATATTTTACTGGGGATAAATCTATTTGTTTTAACCCAGAAGAAACAAATACTCTGAAGTCTTTATTAGAGCTATATGTCATTACGTTTTTAGAGCAGTTTTTTCCTCAGTTATTCATTTAGTCTGGGTTGGACTTCTCAAGGGGGGAGACAGATGTCCCAGCAGCCTGACAAAGTTAAGTACGTACAGAAGGTTTACAGTAGTAATGAGGGTGGGCACTTTAAAAATGGCTTGGAAAAGAAAATCATTGTTTATAGATACTAATAATTCAGTTATATTGAGTTATGTGACTCATTAATGACTTTGAGATAGGTTAGAAAACCATTAAGCTTTGTCTATGTATATATATGGAAAAATACATGGATGCAAGTTATACTACTCATTTAGAGTACCTTTTTTTCTTATTAAAAGGTAGTAAGAAGTAGCAAAAAGAAGAAAATAAATACCAACCATTCAGTGTAAGCCATACTTTTCAGGTTTTTCTTCTACCTCTCAGGCTGCCACTTCTCTGTGAGCTTTTAATACTCTGCCTAACCCTTTTATATTGGTATTTGGTCCTTGGTCTTTTCTTTCTTTCTTTTTTTTTAAAAAAAATGTTTATGTATTTGGTTGCACTGGCTCTTAGTTGCAGCAGGCGGGCTCCTTAGTTGTGGCACTTGGGCTCCTTAGTTGCAGCTTGCCAGCTCCTTACTTGTAGCAAGTGGGCTCCTTAGTTGCAGCATGCAGGCATCTTAGTTGTGGCATGTGAACTCTTGGTTGCGGCATGCATGTGGGGTCTAGTTCCCTGACCAAGGATGGAACCCCGGCCCCCTGCATTGGGAGCGCGGAGTCTTATCTACTGCACCACCAGGGAAGTCCTGGTCCTTGGCCTTTTCAAGTGCGGTTGACTTATTTGTCTATAGTCAACATCAATCTCTCCCATGATTTTGGTTATTGTAGTTATGCTAATGGCTCCTGACTGTCTCCGTCCCTGCTTTGACTGCTAATTGAATGGCTCTATCTAGATGTCTAAGTATCTTCTCAAACTGTCCAAAACTGAATTTAATCCTCCAACTCCCTCTCTCCCCCCTGCAGAAGACAAAACTAAAACCTAATTCTCTTTTTGGTCGGTTCATCCCTGATTTCTCCTTCTCTCACCCTCACATTCAGTCAAATTTTGCCTTATAAATATCTCATAAATATGTCCTTCACCATCCCCACTGTTATTGTCATCTCTTCCCAGTCTTACTCTTCTCCAATATATTCTCCCCAGTGTAGCCAAAGTGATTCCTCTAGAGTCTAGATTATGTAGATTGACTAATTATCACCCACTGCTTAAACATTTTTACTCTTTCCGTGGAGTTAGCCAAACTGTGAGGTCAAAGGCACAGTCCTCCAGAAAGCCAGATCTGCCTGAGGCAGAAGTTTGCAAGGAGTTAGGGTCTAAATACAAACTTAGAGGGAAGAGTCCACACAAGACCACCCTCACTTCTGACACTGACTGTAAGTTTGGGGTTTCTCAAAAACACCTCCAGATTTGATAATTCACTAGAAAGAACTCGCTGAAAGCTATTATATTAATGGATTATGGTTCATTATAAGGAAAAGATACAAATTAGAACCAGCCAAAGGAAGGGATGCATGAGGTGCTATCTAGAAGGGTTTCAAATGTGAAGCTTCCATTGTCCTCAGCAATGTGTTTCTCTCTCATGGAGTATTGCCAACCCAAGAAGCTCACCTGAGCTGCAGTGTCCAGAGTTTTTATTGGGACTTACTGATTGATTGCTCACATGGTTGAACTTAGTTTCCAGTCTCCCCTCAGGCTGATACCATGTGATCCAAGGGGCCCACCTGAATAACAAAGACAATCCTATTACTTTAGAAATAGGGATTTAGAGGTTACTCCCAGGAGCTGAGGAGAAAGGCCAGACCTCTCTTTGGGCAAAGCCAATTATTTACTGTACACCTTCATCACCTATTTCTCCATTGCCCTCCAGATAAAATCCAAACAAAGCTTTATAATCTTATCAGCCTCATCCCTGAATCACTATCCACCCAGTCCATCCCACCTCTAGAAGCTACACTTTAGCTGTTTTAGACTATTAATATATTAGTTTGAATGTGTTGTGTTTGCTCTTACCTCTGCACCTTTGGACATAACATACTATTCCTTCTTCTTGATCTACCATGCTATCCCACCCTCACCTCACCCAGTCCAATCTCTTACCCATTCTTTAGGTCTCCATCTAACGTCACTTCCTTTGTTCACCAACCTAACACTCAAAATGAGTTAGGTGTCTCTTCCACATCCTCTTACAGAATACCCAGTGCTTACTCCTTTTGTAGCACTTGTTTATTATTTTTTTGTCCACGAATATTTATATATCTTTTACTTGACTAATGGTCTTCAAAATAAGGTGTACCCAAAATAATCCATTTCAGTGAAGGAATAAAATATTAAAATCTTTTTCCTTGTATACAAAATATGAACTTAAGGGAATTCCCTGGCTGACCAGTGGTTAGGACTCAGTACTTTCACTGCCGTGGCCTGGGTTGAGTCCCTGGTGGGGGAACTAAGATATCCTGCAAGACACACGGTGTGGCCAAAAAAAAATAATGAAGTTAGGTGCTTGTAATACTTGATATATTGATTGAGGTTGGCAGCTTGTTCTGTACGACAACTGACTTCATGTCAGACGTGGTAAATGAGGTATCCTGATGAAGTGCAAGTTTCTTAGCTTAGAAGAGTTGACAGTGGCACCCTTACTCCAATTTTCAGAACATTATGAATTATTTCAGTTTACCTGCTCTCATTAAATTGATTCATTGATTATATTTACTGGTTTTAACAAAATTAGCCCTTAGAAAATAGACAGTTGACTTTAAAGATTCCTGCAAAGTGCTCGCTTTGACAGCACATATACTGAAATTGGAAGGATACAGAAGATTAGCATGGCCCTGCACAAAGATGACACGCAAATTCGTGAAGCATTCCAGAGGAGACTGTTGCTCGCCATGGCTGACGAAAAGCCCAAGGAAGGAGTCAAGACTGACAACAACGATCATAATAATTTGATGAGGCAGGATGGTTCTGTGGTGCAGTTTAAGATTAAGAGGCATACACCACTTAGTAAACTAATGAGAGCCTATTGTGAACAACAGGGTTTGTCAATGAGGCAGATCAGATTCCGATTTGATGGGCAGCCAATCAGTGAAACAGACACACCTGCACAGTGGAAAATGGAGGATGAAGATACAATAGATGTGTTCCAGCAGCAGACAGGAGGTGTCTACTAAAAAGGGAACCTGCTACTTTACTCCAGAATTGTTCCTCCAGACCAAGAAGACATTCTCAATTAGAAAACCGCAATTGGGTTCCATCACATCCTGACTCCTGCTATATAGTTTCTCTATTCTTTCATTTTCCCCTTCTCCATTCCTTTATTGTACATAAAGTAAACGGTGTACAAGCATATTGCATTTTTTTTAAAGTAGGTGGCCAATGGTATGTTTTGATCGACATCAGATGGAGATGGAATGGGGAAAAATACTGGTTCTGTGAAGATACCCCCTTTTCTCCATTAGTGGCATGCTCATCAGCTCTTATCTTTATATTCCAGTAAGTTATTTTGCTCTCACTGTTTAACAAAAAAAGAACAACATAAAAATTCTTGCATACCTTGTTCGATTGGAGAATTTTAATGTTTTCATTTATCATTGTAAAACAAAGGACAATTTTACAACTTCTTTGTATGTAGCTGTTACATGTTACATGTTACAATCTGTCTTTAAGTAGGGATAAATTACTCTAAAAGAAATGAATCCTAGGTAGTTTTCCCTTCAAGTCAAGTTTAAATAAACTTCTTGTTTAAAATGAAAAAAAAAGATTCCTGCAAAGAAATCATGGGTTGAACATAATATTTGTAATGCAAATGTAAAAAGGAACAAAACTTAAGAGCCTATATTTCTCCCATCTTTACTTATATTAGATTTTTTTAAAGGTGATTATATTTGATGAGAAATCCACAAAAATGGAACTATTAAGTAGATTATGTGGAACACAGCTTACTCACAGAAATACTAATACATTGCTGGTGAGAGTGGTATGTGTGCATGGATGTGTGTGTACGGAATTTGTATTTGTATATATACACACATGAGAAATGTGTATCTACATTTGGGGTGGGGGTATTCATGATGCTCCACATTTTTTTTTTTCTTTTTTTTTTTTTTAACATCTTTATTGGAGTCTAATTGCTTTACATTGTTTTATTAGTTTCTGCTGTATAACAAAGTGAATCAGCTATACATATGCATATATCCCCATATCTCCTCCCTCTTGCGTCTCCCTCCCACCCTCCCTATCCCACCCCTCTAGGTGGTCACAAAGCACCGAGCTGATCTCCCTGTGCTATGCGGCTGCTTCCCACTAGCTATCTGTTTTACATTTGGTAGTGTATATATGTCAGTGCCACTCTCTCACTTCGTCCCAGCTTACCCTTCCACCTCCCTGTGTCCTCAGATCCATTCTCTAAGTCTGTGTCTTTATTCCTGTCCTGCCCCTAGGTTCTTTAGAACCATTTTTTTTTTTTTTTAGATTCCATATATATGTGTTAGCATACGGTATTTGTTTTCTCTTTCTGACTTACTTTACTCTGTATGACAGACTCTAGGTCCATCCACCTCACTACAAATAACTCAATTTCATTTCTTTTTATGAATGAGTAATATTCCATTGTATATATGTGCCACATCTTCTTTATCCATTCATCTGTCGATGACACTTAGGTTGTTTTCATGTCCTGGCTATCGTAAACAGAGCTGCAATGAACACTGTGGTACATGACTTTTTTTTTTTTTTGCGGTACACGGGCCTCTCACTGTTGTGGCCTCTCCCGTTGCGGAGCACAGGCTCCGGACGTGCAGGCTCAGCGGCCATGGCTCACGGACTCGGCCGCTCTGCGGCATGTGGGATCTTCCTGGACCGGGGCACGAACCCGTGTCCCCTGCATCGGCAGGCGGACTCTCAACCACTGCGCCACCAGGGAAGCCCCATGACTCTTTTTGAGTTATTGTTTTCTCAGGGTATATGCCCAGTAGTGGGATTGCTGGGTCGTATGGTAGTTCTATTTTTAGTTTTTTAAGGAACCTCCATACTGTTCTCCATAGTGGCTGTATCAATTTACATTCCCACCAACAGTGCAAGAGGGTTCCCTTTTCTCCGCCCCCTCTCCAGCATTTATTGTTTCTAGATTTTTTGATGATGGACATTCTGACTGGTGTGAGGTGTTACCTCACTGTAGTTTTGAGTTGCATTTCTCTAGTGATTAGTGATGTTGAGCATCCTTTCATGTGTCCGTTAGCAATCTGTATATCTTCTTTGGAGAAGTGTCTATTTAGGTCTTCTGCCCATTTTTGGATTGGGTTGTTTGTTTTTTTGATATTGAGCTGCATGAGCTGCTTGTAAATTTTAGAGATTAATCCTTTGTCAGTTGCTTCATTTGCAAATATTTTCTCTCATTCTGAGGGTTGTCTTTTCGTCTTGTTTATGGTTCCTCCAAATTTTTTTGATAGAGTGCTTGAGCGAGTGTTTGGAGACAGTTGCATTAGATTATAAGCTACATGTTTGCCATCACATCCCTAGGTCAGTAATGACAGGGACATATACAACACACAATAAATATTTGCTGATCCAATGAATGAGCGAAGAGATTAAAAATAAGATATTATTCTTACTACTTTAAACTGCTTTTTAAAAAACTTAGTAAATTTTGCGATTCTCATATTTTTAAAACTTTTTATTATAGGAAATTTAAAGTATATAAAAAATAGTGTCCTTACCACTCAACCTCAGCAATGATCAATTTGTGGCCAATCTTTTTTCATCTATATCTTCACACATCTCACCCTACCTCCCATTATTTATATTCTGTGTAATTTTTAAATGAATACACAGTAATTTGATCACAATTCTATTAAACATTTTAGGTGTTACAAATTTTTGGTTGCTTTAAGAATATTTTGATGGTCATCCTTTGAGCATACCTTTGGTTTTCTTAGAGTGTATTTATATATAGTATATAGTGTTGGGATTACATTAAATATTTTCACATATTTAAGGCTTTTGGTACATAGTTTTTAAGTGTCTTCTAACAAGGTTTTACTAGTTTACTCTCTAAGCAGCTATATATAAGAAAAAGATTATTGGTGTTACGAAATGATTTAAACATTTAGAAAATAACAGAAAATAATAAAAATATCCATATACCCACCATTCAGTTTCAACAAGTTGTTTAAGATTATTTTAAGGAAATAAAACATTTCATAAGGAATTGAAGACTTTGTTGTCACTGTCTTCTATGAACCCATTCCCTTTTCTTTCTTTCCAGACGTAATCTGGGAGTTTGGGGAATGTATCCTTCTGCTCTATATTTTTATATTTTTACTACACACATATTTGTATGGTCAGTATATGGTGGGCTTTTTTTGTTTTTGTTTTCATAAGTAGCTATCTTGAGACTGACCTTTTTAAAAAAGATTTATTCATATTGATACACATAGATATAGTTTTTTCATTTTAGCTACTATATAGCATTCTATATGAGTGTATTTTATCTATCCAATTTCCTATTGATGGACAGTTGAGTTGTTTCTAATTTTTGCATGTTATGCACTATAATGGTTAAAAATAGCTGCTCTAGTGGGTAAATCCTGAAATCTCAAAAGCTTAACATAATGTTAGTTTATTTCTTGCTCATAGAGTACCTTCAATGGAGAAGGTGCTGTGTTCTATGGAGTGATTAAGGGACTCAGGCTAATAGAGAGTCTGTCGTCTTCAATTTGTGGTTTCCAGGGTTGCTCTAGGCATCAAAATACATCCAGCAAACATAAGAATGGAGAATGGTATTGGAGGTTTTTAGGGGCCAGTCCTTGGAAGTGGCATATATAATTTTGTTCACTTTCCATTGATTAGAATTCCAGTCACGTGACACCACCTAGGGCCCACAGTTCCCAGCAAACAAGACTGGGAAATGTAGTCACTGGCTTGGCAGTTAAGAAACAACTTCATACTATGTAGAAAAAAACCACATAACTTTGGTGGATAGCTGGTATTCTCTGCTTTACAAATAATTCTACAGTTTGGACATGTCTCCTTGTGCATGTGTTCATAGATTTCTTGAGTATATACCTAGAAATGGAATTGTCAGGTTGAAGTTACATACACTTTTACTTTGTTAGATATTGACAGATAACTTTGTCCAACAGCACTGTATGAGAGGTCTGGTTTCTCCATGTTCTCACTAATATTTGAATTGCAGTACTGCTTGTCTTGTATTTCTACACAGCTGTGTGCCATTAATGCCACTGAACTCTGTTGGAAAGAGGAGAATACTTATAAGTGACTGTGGTCTTGGTTTAGGGCATTTTGGAGGAGGACACTTGCCTAAAAGTCTAGACCAGTGCTGTCTAATAGAAACATAATTGAGCCACATATATAACTTAAAATTTTCTATTAACCACATTTTAAAAATGGAAAGTGAATTTAATTTAATAATTTATTTTATTTAACCCAGTGTATCTAAATATGTTATCATTTAAACATGTGATCAGTATTAAAATATTATTGAGATATTTTTCATTTTTTATAGCAGTTTTCAGAATCCTGTTTGTATCTTACACGTAAAGCAGATCTCAATTGGAATATCACATTTAAAATATCAGTAGCCACTTGCGGCTAGTGGCTACCATATTGAATGGCACAGGTTTAGATATAATAACAAAAACTTTAATTCTGTAACACATATCTGACATTTAATTTCAAAGTCATATTCATTTATTTATTTAATATTTATTTATTTGGTTGCCCCGGGTCTTAGTTGCAGCAGGCAGCCTCCTTAGTTGCAGCTCCAGGGCTCCTTAGTTGCAGCTCACTGGCTACTTAGTTGAGGTATGCAAATCTTAGTTGTGGCATGCATGTGAGATCTAGTTCCCTGAGCAAGGAT